TTTATTAAGATTCTTTAACATAAAACAAGAATAGGGGAAATGGGAGGAATGACAAAGTTAGTGAGGACATTATTGTTTAACTATCCCAGGAACTGTACTTTGGCTTACCTAGCCATCATGTTATCATTCCTTTGGACATATCCTAGCAAAACATCTCATGCTGTCCCAGCAGCATTCCGCTGGGATTAAGGTCCTATTTTCACTTCCTTTTACACTAATTCTTTTGCTAGACTTCCTCTGGAACAAACAATTATATGGCCTGGTCAGGCTCAAAGTCCCATATAGGTTATACATTATAAGGTAAACTATAGAATGTTCTGAGCGTGGGGTGCCAGGGACTACGGGCATGGTTGGTGGGTGTGTGGGTGCAGGGGTGGCTGGGGCATCCCACTGAGTCTGCCCAGGCCTGGAACATGGGGCTGTCTCTCCGCTCAGCCCATGCCACTCCCACCTGTGGCACTGTGCTGGGCTGAGCCAGCTGCACGGCAGCCTGATCTGTGCACAAATCAGAAAAATTCCCCTTCCATGATAAATAATATCCCAGACTTAAACATGTTTCAGCTATTTCTTTTTTCCCCTCAAAGCTCCTTCCTTATCTGACAGAGGAAAGCTATAGGGTTTAAACTCTATTTGGGGGAGGGCTGTTGTTCCACCATCTTTTTTCTGCTCGGGACTGAATTTTAAAGTAGTACTCCAAGCCAAATCCTCCATGGTCATCTCAACAAGCATTTCTATTTATAACTGTTGCCCTAATAAGCCTGTTTTCGCCCCATGTTTTACACCTGATAAAATCAGTACACCTCTCTCCCTTTTGTTTCTCAGGAGCCTGTTTTGCTCTTTTGACTCTAGTGAACCTGTTTTTCCTTTTGGCTCTAATAAGCCCATTTCTCTCTTTGGACCCAGTGAGTCAATTTTTTTCTTTGGTTTCTCTTGAGCCTATTCTACTCTTTGGCTTCTCCAGAGCCCATTTTTTTCTTTTTGTGAGCACACAAATAGAGGTCTCCTCTTACCTGCTCTCCGATGCATTTCCACATTCCCTGGGTCCCTGTTTGGGCACTAAATGCTGCATCCCAAACAGCTCTTGAATTTCCCAGGGTGAAGACAGTGAAAGGATGGAGAAAAAAGGACAAGAGTTAAAATACAGAAAACTGAGGCCAGATGAAGCCCTCTCTCCTGATGGAAATGAGGGAAAGAAGAAAAAAGAGGAGGAGAAGAAGAAAGGGCCCCAATGGCTGAAATGCATTTATTTATACCCTGGAGAGGTGGAATGTCATGTGAAACCCCTCTGCCTAAGAGTTTATCTCTGTGCCTTGCTTCTGGAACCCAGTGTTCTTGAGACTAGGACCCAGTGGTTCTTGAACCCAGTGTTCTTCATGTGACTTGCCTCAGGTGCTCTGTGTTCCTGAGGCTGCCCTTCCTCCGGCCACATGTGTGATTGATCTGCAGCTTCAGCCTTTCCCCACAACTTCATCCTCTGGAGCGATCCCATGTTGGAGAAGGCTGAACGGTTTCTGTCATGGAACACTGAGTAAACCTCGCAGGGTTTTCATTTGTCAGCAACAGCTCAGTCATTTTTAAGGTTGTTGTTGGTAGTAGTTTTGGGGTCACAGTTGAACGACACCTTCCTAGCCAGAGAGAAAGTGGGACACCTTGGGGAGCATGCTGGTAGCTGAGCCTCAGGTACCCAGGGTCCAGAGCTAATGGCTCCAAGCCAAGGACCTCTTGGAATTCTACCACATGTTTTAGATGAATATAAAAGCACATTTCATTAAAAAACACTTTATGATGAGTAGAGAGTTGACCCTAAAGGGCAGCAGGAGGCAGCTTTGGGTGCAGGAGCTGTGGCAGGAAGCTGAAGTGAAAGATACAAAGTTCTACCTCCTTGTCAATGCCCAGAACAGAAATTACCACCAAGAACAAGTTTTACTAGAGCTAAGTTTTAAAATCGGCAAGAATATGGGGAAAGGTTGTATGGAGAGTGACATATGAATCCTTTTCCCTTTGACGACAATGATGTGATTCCCCCATTCATTCTGTTTTCTATTTCAGAGGTTTGTTGTAGCTGAAGGTATGTGCATAATTTGAAATCTTTGCCATGAAGAAGCATGAGAATGTCAGTTGGTGGACTAATGAGTCAGTTGGTGGATTAATGAGTCCCTTTGAGGAAACATGACCAATAACTTTTAGGGGGAGTCAGATTTGGCCTTAGAAGCAGCCTGGCTAAAGTATAGCACCTGGGGTCCTGCAGGTGTTCTAGCAGGAGGCAGGGTGTCTTGTGGTCTAGGAGCTGGCTTGGGCTTTCATTTGGCGGCCCTGAAGATCTCTATCTCTGTTCTGCTATCAGTCATGATGCAAGAATTAGGTGGTTTCCTTTCCTGTCAATGTTTTGTCGCCATAGCATCAAACACAGCTAGCCTTTCTCTTTGAAATAACCCCACTAGGGAAGACAGTTAACATCATTTTCTGTTGAAATTGAATCAGAGGTCTGGTCTGGTCATTAGTATCAACCTGCTTGTGTCTCCTGGGTCCGAAGAACTGAGCTGGCATTGAGCCAGCACCTGGCTTCCTGCCACACAAAACTGGATCACAAAACACCTGTGCTATCTCCTATTTGTCCCTGGGGCAAAGCTGGCTCTCCCTACACTGTGGATGGCTTTCAGAATAATTATGTTTTAGATTTCACAACAAATCTCTTAAGCCACCTCAGTGAGGAACCTGAGGCAGGACTCACAAGGGGCACTGGCTGCCTTAATTTTCATCACAAAGCCAAGCCCATCCCTATTTAAATCTGGTGGCAGGAAGCCTGTAGCCTCCTGTGGAACCTGAGCAGTAGGACTCTGGCTTCTTGAACCCCACGGTGTGGTGAGGATCTGGGGAAATTTGCCTGGCAGGACCCTCTTTCAGTGCTGATCAGACTCTTCCTGGGAAGGGTTACCTGCCCAATTTCAGAATCCACTGCTTAGGAGCTCATCTAGAATATTTTGTTACTTTACAAAAGCATAGGGTGCATTGCTGTCTAAAATTATGCTGAGCCTCTTTCTCTCCTTTTATTTGTTAAATCAGGAGATTCATTTCCCCAAGTCGGGGGTTCCTGAGGGCCCTGACATCTCCTGTGTCAGAGGAATGTAGATGTACTGCTGTGAAGACTTCTCATGTCTAGTTAAGAGGTTTAGTGCATTCCAATAAATATTACAAGAAAAACATGGATGAGGGACAGACAAAACAGGAGGCAGCTCCAGGATATGGCTGGGGCAGCATGTCACAAGCTATGCTTGTCTCTGTCTTTGTCTCTGTCTTTGTCTCTGTCTGTCTCTCTCTCTCTCTCTGTCTCTCTCTCTCTCTCTCTCTCTCTCTCTCTCTCTCTCTCTCTCTCTCTCTCTCTCTCTCTTTCTCTCTCTCCTCTCCTCTCCACCATTGCTACATGGAGTCAGCCTGGAATGCCCAGTACAGCACTGGAAGGGCTTAATATTCATGTGACTTTTCCAATCCTTTAAAAATTGATGCATTTTATTTTCCATAGAGTTAATACAGAATCTTGCTCATAAGTATACAAAAACATGACTGACACATTTCAGAAGTGATTCAGGAAAAGATGGGAGCTGCTTTCAGCCATAGAACTTAGAGGGAGCGAGAGAGGGAACATAGGCTGGCTACTTCTTTGCTGCAGTCACTGCCCCCAACCCAGGCAGCTGAACAATTCTGCCTTCTCCCTATTCCAGTCTCTACCTCTACTGACAGAGAAGGTATATTAGGAGGACACTATCTGTTGCTTAGTGGAGCAGTGATGCTGATTCTGTCCAGTCTAGTCATGTCATGTCCTCCAAAATATGGTGCAGGTGGTGGGCTGTGGCTGGTCCCTCTGGTCAGCCATCCTTAGGGTAGGCATTGGAGGTGAGCAGGGGACTTTGGACAGGGAAGTGGTTCTGAGATTGGCCTCGACCTGTCAGTCATATATTAATCTTGAACCAGGAATCTCCTAGATTCCTACTGACCCCACATACATGGTGCTCAGAGGAAATGTGGGATGTCTTGCTAAGTTTGAATTTCAGATCAGCAGCATGTGCTGTTTTGTATAAGAATTTCCTATGCAGATTTTAAGACCTGCTTCCACTGAAAATGCGCTAACTGCTAACCTGAAATTCAAGTTTAACTGGGAATTTACATTTTGCTTGCTAAATCTGACCACTTTGTCTGGATTCACAGGGACCCTATGTAAGCACTCCTGCCACTGACCAGTGAACAGTCCAGCTTCTGGCTGCTCCTGCTCAGGGTAAGGAGGATCTGCGTTCACAGAGAGCAGATTGATATCTGTGTGTCAATAATCTGGCAGTGGCTTCAGTTTCTGGGTGTCAGTCCCCATGGGGCCTACATTACACATTTCCACATTACATAGACACATGGAAAGGTCATGTTTCCAAGAGGCTGCTGCAGGCAGTTTTCAGCAGAGCTCATGCTTCTATCTCCCCAGCTGACTGCTTAGCCCCATTGCTCATTTGACCCTTTCATCCCACCTTCCCCTCCAGCTGTCCCCACTACAGGGAAAGAGTTCCTGGTCAGCTCACTGAAACATGACTGTCCTATGCCTCTGTGGAGACTTGTGGCTTGCGAATAAGTTGCTCCATTTGAGTAGGGACCTGATCCTGGTGTGTGCCTATATTTCTGGGCCTAGTTTCTCTGCAGGAGCTGTACCTGGGTTGCCCTTTACTTTAATAAGCATTTTAACTATGGCTGGAAACTTTAAAGCCATTATTTCCCTTCCCAGAATGTGTTGGTCATTATATGGAACTTAATTTGACCTTTTTTTTGGTTTTTCTCTGGTACCGGGAACCAAACTCACGACCTTGCGCTTGCCAGGCAGGCGCTCTGCCGCTGAGCTAAATCCCCAGCCCCTTGACCATTTTTTTTTTTGCTTTATCACTTCAATTTAAAAAACACATTTTTCCATTTTTGAAGGGACACTCATATTGCGACAGTCCACTCAGACCTGACCAGAACCACCCATGGCCTCTGGGAATCAGTCAGTTGTGACCATGTTCATCCTGCAGAGATTCACAGACGACCCTTGGCTCCAGGTAGCCCTTTTCTGTCTCTTCTTCACCCTGCTTGTGGTGTCCCTGATGGGCAATGGCCTGATCATCATGACTATCCACCATAGCCCCAACCTCCACACCCCCATGTACTTCTTTCTTGTCAACCTGGCCCTGCTGGATGTGGCCTGCACCTCAACTGTCTTGCCCAAGGTCCTGCAGAGTCTAGTGGCTGAGAATACCATCTCTTTTGGGGGCTGCCTCACCCAGATGTTTGTCTTCTCGTGGCTCCTGGGCTCTGAGCTGCTGCTCTTCTCTGCTATGGCCTATGATCGCTACCTGGCCATCTGCCGACCACTGCACTATGGCACCCTGATGAGCGGGAGGGTCTGTGTGACTCTAGCAGCCTTTGTGTGGTCCATGGGGGCTCTCAACTCCTTGATGCTCACTTGCCTGGCTCTGCCACTGTCATTCTGCGGCCCCAATCTCATTACACACTTTTTTTGTGAGATTCCATCTGTGCTCTTGCTGTCCTGCAGCTCAACCTTTGTCAACGATGTCATGACCATCATCACAGACATGTTTCTGACAGGCCTGAACTTCCTGCTGACCATGACTTCCTATAGCTTTATCATCACCAGCATCCTACGCATCCACTCAGCTGAGGGCAAGCGGCGTGCCTTCTCTACCTGCTCCTCCCACCTGGTGGTGGTCACTCTATACTACTCCACCGTGCTCTACACCTATATCCGGCCAGCTCTGGGCTCTGCTGGGCTCTTGGACAAAGCTGTTGCTGTCTTGTATACCACTGTGACTCCCTCTCTCAACCCCCTAATCTATACCCTGAGAAACAAGGAATTTAAATCATCCTTCAAAAAACTTCTATTTTTCCCTAAATGAGTTTTGAGAAAGGAAAGAAACTTTGGAAGTGGCAGGAAAAGTCCCATGAGGGGGCTCTCAGCCTTTGATGGACTCGTTCCCTGAACTTGGGGATAGTGGCTGAACCATCACCTGGTCTTGCTGTCCAGGGCTGTGTGTATAAGAAAACCACACTTTACACCAGCTAATATCTGAATTATCTTATCTCTTTTTAATGTTTTTCTAACACTTTACACATTGCTGTACAACTAATACATCAAAACTGACATATATGTTCAATGCTCTTAAACACTAAGATACTTCTTTAACTCATTTAGTGAAATCCAACTGCTAGCTTAATATGAGTGTAAGTTCTTGTAATTTGGTCTATATATGCCTCAAGTCTTTTAAACAATAGCCATCCTTAGATTATCACTGGTTTAGGGAAACCTGGTGTACTTGCCATGCCACCTATGGAATTTTTGGTGTAGTGTTCTGACTTTATGATCATCTTTCCAATTATCACTTCATACTTCTTTCTGGGACTTTGTTCATCTCCTAGGCCTGAAGGAAGGAATTCTACTGTGGGTTAGAGGATTACCAGTCAGGATTTTTGACCCTCTGATTCTTGTTGGTCCTCTGATTTTCTGTTCTTTTCCATGTATCTATTTGGATGACCCTGTTTGTTTTTTGTAGTGTAAATTTCATTAGTTGGTTTTAAAATATTAAACCAACCTTATATCCATTTATATACTATCTCTTTTGGTCATCAGATATTATCCATTTATATACTGCTACATTGAATTTATAAAATTTTGTTGAGAATTTTGTGTATGTGTTCATTAGGGATATTGGTCTATGGATTTCTTTTCTGACAATATCTTTATCTGCTATTTTAAATCAGAGTCATTCTGACTTGCTCATTTTTCATGAGTTTTTTAACGTAGATCTTTTATTGTCTGGTGTACTCCCCCAGTGCAATAAATTTTCCCCAAGATGCTTTTTTATCTGCATTGTACAAACTTTGCTGTGGTGTGTTCTCATATTGATTCATTTGAAAATACTGATGTTCTTTTTCCTTATATTGCAGCCTGTAAACACTCTAGGCTTCTAGCTGGAGCAGTTATGGGACTTACTGCTAATTTTCTGTGTCTCAAGTTTCACTTTCCTGCAATGGCTGATGTCCAAGGTCTAGTGTTATGCCCTTGTCTAGATGTCTCCACAAAGCCTCATGTGGTCATAGATGGGGCTTTTTCAGAGGTGGGTGGACCTAATATGCTTGCTGCTGGGGTTAAGAGTGTTTGATCACTAAATTGGTTCACTGATTGGTTTGGGATAGTTATGGCTAGGATTAAGGGTGCCCTACTCTAAGGATGGGTAGCCTGTATACAATATAAAGGGATAAAAAGAATCTGTTGTTTATTGCTTGATGCTTGCTGCCTTCTGTCTGCCCTGAAAACCATGAACTATTTTCTCTCTGTGATGCCCCTCTGCCATTCCACCCTTCCTTAGAGCCAGCCAACTATGAACTGAAACGTCTACAAACTATGAGTGGAATAAAGCTTTCTTCCTTTAACTTTGGGTGTTGAGTATTTTGTCTCAGCAATGAGAAAAGTAACTAAGACATCTAGAAGACCTTTTTTTCAAGGTGTATATTATTGGCTGTTTGCTGTTTAAAGATGGAGAGGAAATTTATTTATTATTATAACTATTTATTATTGTGACTTGACTAGAAGCCAATGTGGGAAGGTTCACTGATTTAAATTCCACCAATATATCACAAATATTTGACATATTAAGTGTTTAAAAAAGAAAATTTCATAAAAAAGAAAATAATCAACCAATCGATGGTATCACAGAAACATTTTGTCCCAGTAAAGTAACTCACCAGGCACTGAGGTACCCTCAGGGGGTTCCTAGCTCTATTGTACTACAGTACAGTTCTTTATTTTTTCTTTCTGTTTTTGAGATAGGATCTGGCTATGTAGTTCAGACTAGCCTGGAACTCACTATGTGGCCCAGCCTAACCTCAAACTCATGGCAATCTTCTCACCTCATCTCTCAAGTGCTGGGATTATGCACATGTGCCAGCACACCCAGCTTATTGGACAGTTCTAATTGAGTAGATGCACAGTTCTTTTAGCATGTCCATGTGCTCCTTCCCTGAAGTGCTCCTGAACTTGATTTCCTACCATGGCCCTAACTCTGGTACTTTACCTTTCTGACTTTTCTCATCTAGAATTTAAACTATTCCCCCACTGACTCCAGTCTTTCCACTTAGGTTGCCCAGGATGTGTGCTTAGGTCCAGCCTTTTTGTCAGCATTGAATATTCAAAAATCAGACCCCTTTGATTCTCAAGGAAAAACAGCAGCAGGCAAATTATGTTCATTGCCGTAGTCCTCTTCTCTGTGTCTTGCCCTTTCTGGGCCTAAGGTGCCTGGCTTCTCAAGAATTCAGGGTGTCTCCTGCCCAAGTCACCTGTCTCTTCTTCTGTAGCTATGTTACTAGGCTCCTGAGCCAATTCACACAAAGCTTCAAAGGGCTGAATTAAAGGGGTGACAGTTCAAGCGGGCATTTTATATGCAAAATTTGGAACCAGAAGGCCAGGCTCAACTCTAACACATCTTGCTGGTTGTGTGAACTTGGAATAAAGATTTCACTTTAAGCATCAGTTTTCTCATCCTTAGAGTGGGCTTATTATGATAATGATGCTTAGAGTTGTTATAAGAATTAAATAATGAAATGCAACATATAAGCCATTAGTACATGGGAGGCACTTGTTCAATCTGAAAGAGAAATTGAATTTCCTATGGCAACCCTCTGAAAAGTGGTGGCGTCGGTTTCAAACACCTTCTTTAGATTAATAAATTCTCTTTTCAAATATAATGGTATCTACTTAAACAATCTTTTACAGAAAAATAATATTTTGTCTGTTCTTTGTTCAAAGCATATTTAAAAATGCAATGATTTTTGATATGAATATATACTTACTTTATCAAATGTATATTTTAACATGAGAGTATTTCATTTATTCAAATCTTTAAAATGTGATATTTAATTTCTTATACACAAAACCAAAACATAATTTTTATTTTTATGTTCCATGCCAGATTTAATTGCAAAATTTTCCAGCATTCATTGGTTGCAATGAGCTAAAGATCATTGTTGAGAAAAAAAGAACTCAAAACCTTGGATTACTACTTTAGGAGTTGCATTAGTTAGCTTTCCATCACTATAACAAATACCTTAGACAGCCAATCTATAATGATTAGAAGTTTTTTTTAGTTCACAGTTTTGGATGTTCTGGTCCATTATTAGCCACACTGTTTTGGGAATTGTTGTTGGACAGCATATCATGGTGGGAAGAAAATGGTGTAGGAGAATGGCTCACCTCATGGCTAGGGAGTAAAAGAGAAAAAGGAAAGGGGTCAGGTTCCACAGTCTTCTTCAAGGATCTGTTCCATAACTTCCTTCCCTGAGACCCCATGTTAAAGGTTCCCTACCTCCCAGTAGTGCCATGAGTTTAAGGTCAAGCCTTGAACAGCTTTTTTTTTTACATTGAAGGAAGACTGACATCTTTCTGGAAATGCAACTGTTAACAAGGTCAAGAAACCAACAAAGGTGACTCTGAAATCCTCAACAGCCTCAGACCTGGTTTGTAACACATAATCACTCCTTTTGTATCCCCAAATCAATCCTAATATTTTTAAACTTCAATTGTAAAAATATTTCTTTTCAGATTTGCCCTAAAATGAAACAGAGACAATGTGGCTCAGTAAGTGACAATTCAACTAAATTAATTATGTCACTACTGGGGAAGAAGTGGCTTTACAGGATATTACAAGGAAGGTAGATGCAATGGCCTGAGTATGTAAAGTCAGTAGAGATGAAGAAGCCAGGGCCAATGTGCAGCTGGGATGAGGGCAGAGAAGATGATCCATGCCAGGCATCATATTTTTTAGCAGCATTATTGCCCAAAAGGAAAATTATATTGTAACAATTTACTCCATTGTAACACAGCAAAGATTTTAAGATTCAAGTTCATTGAAATAATACTACATCTGCAATTTATTAAGCTTTTAAAATTTTGTCTCACTTTTTACTGTATTCACTCCTTGCAACATTTGTAATATTTTGTAAACAATTAATTTAAAAATATTACTAATATGCTTATTAGTATTTCCTTTACTCACTTAAATTAACTATTATCATAATTTATTATAGACCATTTATGGATCTTTTGAACTATATATGATGTTAAGCTAAGGTTTCCTATGTGCAACGGAATGCAGCATCATCTCTAGCCACACGACTGCTTACACAGGAATTGTATTGAGTGGTTGCATGCATCTGGACCATGGCATCCACTCAGGACAATTGTGTATAAGCAGCAATGCCTCTAGAGACACTGCTGTGTTCTTGACTGATGAGATGGCCTGGAGTAGAGGCAGCATTAGTGAACTGCTCCTGGTTCCTGTAAAGATATTTTTCTAGATGTCAGATATTGCAGAAATTTTGCAGCATAATTATATTAAACTAATAATTGGAATATGGGTTGTCAGTGAATCGATACTATCTTCTTATCTAGTTTATGCTTAAAGCAATCATATGTGAAAATTTAAAGCAGGTAAGATAATACAAAAAGTAAAATAATTATTTTTATTTTTATCATGTTATTGTCCACTTTCAATCCTGCACGTACATATTTTACATGTGATCTTAGCCAAGAGGCCAAGAAGCAACCCACATATAATTTATCTTTTCAAATATCCAATAATACTCTTTTAAAATGAAATAAAGGTTTTTTAAAAAGGCAAGAAAAGTAACATTCTAGAATATTTCAGTTTTTCTATAAAAATGTGTGTGAAAATTACCTTAATTTTTCTCTGTAAGAATTTTAATTTTCTACTTTAAGTAACATTGTAGTTATTTTTTATTTAATAAGTAATCATAAATGTTATCTACATTTTCTCTAAACATCATTTTACTTTTCTATCTAAATAGGATACCATAGTTCAGTATGTTAGAGGATGACAAACTG